ATATATATATATATATATATATATGTACACCTTGCTACGTGTACTGCGTTAGGCTAACCGAGACTTGTCATTTGCACTTATATATTGCTGCTCTTTTGTTAGTTTTGACTGCTTTTTTTGTCCTCATTTGTAAGTCGCTTTGGATAAAAGCATCTGCTAAATGATTAAATGTAAATGTAAATGTAAAATGGTAGATTTATTTCATACAAACGCACACAAGCTGTTAACTGATGGACTGGAGTTGTGTGGATTACTTGAGGATTATTGGGATGTTTTTATCAGCTGTTTGGACTCTCATTCTGACGGCACCCATTCACTGCAGAGGATCCACTGCTGAGACAGTGATGTGATGCTGATGAAGAAACAAACACATTTTCATCTTAGATGGTCTGAGAGTAGAGATGTTTTTAGCAAATTTTCATTTTTTTGCGAGGACTATTCCTATAAAATTAGATACTCATGTCCACTATATTTTGCATCACTATTTTCGGTGAATGTGCGAAATTTCCGATTCATTAGTTGCTATAGATAAATAACTAGAAGAATAACAAAGCGTAGTAAATGGTAAAACTATTTGCACTACAAACCAGAGCATTTATGATTATGATAATAAATTCTAATAATATGATAATAAATATCAGTCTGCAACATCAAGAAGCAGAACGGACTATTTTTGTACAAGTAAAATAGCTGGAAGCGAATGACACTGGAAGCCTTCAATATTCAATTTACAAACATTAAAATAATGTGGATAGCTTGATGTGTAAAATAAGTCATTTGAAAGTTATCTTCCTGAAAAGTGTAACAGTGCTGTGCCCCAAAACATTCATTTCAAAACATTGATCTGTTTGTATCCAGATCAGCTCAAAACAGCAGCAGTGGCTCAACCAATGGCATGAGTGAAGGGCGGGACTATCTGTTTGCCCAACCAATGGCAGATGAGGGGTGTGTTCAAGTCTGCTAGTAGCAGAAAATCCACCGTTGATTGTGACAGAAAGAAAGACAGATAGCGTGAAGTGGTACCTGATGTAATTGCTGGTTTAATTGCTCTTTGGTTCAGACCTCTGTTTGCCCCACGGCCCTCTATGTTAGACGACTGATAAGAGGTAACTACACCTCCTCCAATTTAATTTTCTGAAACATGAAAAAAGATAGAAACTTGTTATTATAGACATAAATGAGCATGCAAATCACATTTACACTGGGAAACATGCAGTGGCGTAGCAGTTTTAACATCTTCCCCACATACATTTCTCACTCTAAGCTTCAAGTTACCATAAATAAATGAAAAATCAATGGTAAATTTGGACTTTTCTTTAGCTCATTAGTTATATTTCCCCACTGTATATAGAATACAACAGATTCAGCTAATTCTGCCTTCACCAGCTCTGAAATAAACTGCAGTTGAGAGGGAGGGACTGCTTTTATTTCACATTCCTGCTGCTTTTCCAATCAGGATCGTTTACAGTTTTTAATAGGATTTATTTAAAGAAATACCCATTAAAAAAAGAAAGATTTTCCATACGATTCACATTTTTGATCAAAACATAAATGGAAATGATTATAGACCACATGTTCACAAATCGCACACGATTGCTGTCTTACGTTACATTTTCCATACCAGCAGGATTAGGCACATTAAATATAACTTATTCATTGTGTTTGCAGCAAAACATGTCGTTTGCCAGGTTGTGAAGCAGACAGTATGATATTGACAGAGGAAATATATTGAGGGAAGATGAGGAACTCAAACAGCTCTTGTATATCTTGTTTGAAGGGAGGAACTTGTGTGGTGAAACTGGAGCACATACAAACAAAATTTGGAGCAGTGGCGTTTGATTTTTTCGAGCCTCTGTTGTGTGGCCGCATTCAGAGACACTAATTAAAACCAGTGAAGCGGGCGCTAACAAATGATGTGTTAGCGGTGCTGCAGTGGAGTGTGGTGGGACAATGAAGGGCCCCTCCGGGAGCCTGATAGCACGCTTAATATCAGTGCTGCAGGGCTCTCTGCCAGTGCTCCTCTGTCAAAACCCTCTAAAAACACACACACAGGATTTTATCCAAAAAGTTAAGCTCTTGATTTAAATATTTTTTTTTTCAAAATAAAATAATTAAT